AGTCAAATTCAGTAGCGGCGCGCATCAGAGTAACGACCATGCGTTTTTGCATGACTTCATTTTGCACAGAGACCACCTGCACTGGGGTTTGATCACGGTGTTGCAATTTGAATGATGCGTTTGCACGGAGGACACATGCCTAAGTGGCAACTCATTTTATGCTTATTGCCCGCACATGTACACCAAACGTCACTTCTTACTCGGCCTGGTTAGCGAGTTAATTGGATGCCAATAGTGGCCCCAAACTAAACTTTCATTTGTGCGCATGCAAAGCCGAGCCGCCCTTTAAGGTTGGATTTAGAATGTTTCGGTCACTTATGAGCACAGAACGTTTTCGTAAAACTTCAGCTGTCTAACTAGACTGTTTGGCGAAACCGCTTTTCATTATAAACATCTTTGCCATGTTCGAATGCGAAATACAGACTTATGCCAAAGTTTATTTTACGTCTGCATGCTCGCATGCAGACAATATTCTCATGAAGTCAGGGCACTGAACTCAGTCTGATTCTCAAGTTGGCGTTTTGCTAACAGCGTCTGGATTTCAATTTTGATTTTTCAGATACATGTGGTATAAGTGCGCTTGATCGCTGATCCTGAAATCTTTTGCTCACACGTAGGCAGAGAATACCTATGCAAAGCTTCTGCTCCCTGCCCCATCAGTTTCTCGAACTCGTTTTCCCGCTGAAAAATAATATTTCTTTTAGGCATCTGAATCAGGAGTATACGGATATTAATTTTGAGTTTTTGGGACCGCGAGTAGGCTAGAAGCATTCTCAAGAAATTTTTGCTTTCTAGCTGCTGCGCTTTCTGAGCTGAAGGTGAAAGACAAAAATGCCAACAAATACATCCACCCACACATACCCTTGGCCACACACACACACACACACACATACACACACAAACACACGGCCCATAAATAAACGAATACCGAGAACCTTCATTAATATGCGTTTCTGCATTTACACAAATATGCAAAAACGCATAATGAATCGAACAACTAGAGAACAGCTGTGGTTGAATTTGAGGATCGGAAAAAAGTTTATTAGCACCACATTCAGCTGGAGAACAGAACATTTGCACGAACGCTCTCAGGAATTCTGTACATAACAGCACTGGAAAGTGAAAACATGAAGGACACTTTAAAAATGAAACATTCGAATGTTTTTGTGAGTGCGAGCAGAACGCTCTGTACCATAGCAAAACTCGTAAAATGAACGATTTGCGAAAAAAACGGAAAATAAAAATTTTCAATTGCTTCAAGTCGAACATTTTCAGTTGCCTGAAATGACGATAACTAATTTTGTACGGATGATATGGCTCGCTAAAACATCTGCTGCTTTACGACACCTGCATTTTCGTGTCTCATTTCTTAAGAAAAATGAACAAATGTATTAACAAATGGTTGAATGCCGTAGTACACAAGAATAGAAAAGGCGCAGTTGTGAGCAATTTAATTTCGTCGACTTTCTTCTTCCGGAACCTGAAAAATTGAGGTGGTGCATCCAGACATACATCAGTAGTTTCAGCGGAAGATGAAAGTGAGGAAAAGTCGAAGCGGAATTTTTGCAAATGGACTGATGCCGAATTTGCTTAGGTCGTCAAGGCTATAGTGTTGTAACAAGGAGATCGTCTTCAGGAGCTTCTTGTGACGGCGCTGGTCGCAGAAGAGCTCGTGCCGAATACCTGTTGAAATCGCGCACTTCGCATCGCTCCATTCCCAAATGCTCCATGTATCGTGCATCTGCTAATGTTGCGGCGGCGCTTTCGAGCTCTGATTCTTCAAGCGAATAGGCTATAAAATAAGAGTGAAAAGTAGTTTTCAGCCTTTGAGATTTCGCAACAACTAGCCACTTTTGATGTATTTTTCCCTAATTCGTTATGCATTTTTACTGTGCAGCATCATAAAGCTGCAGCAGCAGCAAAGGCGCTTATTCTGACGAATACCTGAGTGTGTGTATCTGTGCATGTATATTCGTCTGCGTGTATCTGCCCAGGTATTTTAACTCGGCAACCAGGTAGTCTGGATGCTGAATTTTTGCCAGCGGATCCCCTGGCCAAAGGCTATCCCAGTATCAACTTTCACATACGCCTGAGTCTCACGTACGGGCACGTGGAAGTTTTGGCAGGAGAACTGCAAACTCGGCAATCAGAGAAAATAGAAAATTAAAATTTCACAAGGAGTCATGTGAGCTAAAGTTCTGAAATAAAGTTTTAACGTACGCCTACGTCTCGTGTACGGGCGCATCAAAACTGAGGTTTCTCATTGCTGGCAAATGCTAATTCGGTAAATAAGCTAATTAGAGCGCTTTAACCTTACGAATATATTTTTTCCACACTTGGACAAATAGGTGTAAAATCAACACCGGCGTACGCCTACATCGCACATTCGAACACGTCAATATATATATATATATATATATATATATA